TTTATAACTTACACAGTACTGGTAGGAAAGTCTTATTTAAAAAAAAAAATTCTACCAACCTAAAAACAAAATTGTAAATATAAACAATTTTTATATTTATACTCCCATCCAAGCCGTTATGAAGCCATGTGCCACTAACAAGTTAATGACACTATTACCAGTCATTACCCACTTGTCAATGCCATTAGATGATTAAGAAACCAAGAATGTGGCCTATTTGCTCTTCTGTATAATACTAAAAAACCATGAAGTTATCATTTAAGATTGGTGAGTCTTCTAACTCAAAAGCGCACGTTCTCATAAAGCAAGGAAAACTTGAACAGCTGTATTTCTATACTTGGGCAGGGCTGGCAAGCTTCTTCGGTAAAGGGTCAGGCAGTAAATATTTAGTCTTTGTGGCTCTGTGGACTCTGCCACAACTCAACTCTGCCTGTGGAGCAGCCCAGCAGCCAAGACGACACATTAGCACACGGGTGTGGCTGGGCTGTGACACAACTTTATCTGTGCAAACGGGCAACCACAGATTGGGCCCATGGGCTGGGACTGGCCAAGGCCCTTTCACGGACACAGACAGAGCACACGCACGTGTCTGTATATGCAAGTGGGGGTATACACACGCCATCACCATACCACATCTCTGTCTGCCTGTCCCCATAACCACAGCAGCTTCATGGGCATCAGATCCGTGCTTGCAGGTTAATGCTCTGTGGCAGACGTCTTGAAAGTCTTCAGGATTTTATACCGGAATTTGCATTGCTAAGTGGAGCCTGACAGGACAATGTTGGCTCCCCTTTGTGGTCTTGCTTCTCCACTGCCTCTCGGCAGCCTGACGCAGCCCTCATACACATGTTCCCCTCCAGCTTCCCGTGCCCCGCCCGTGCCTCGCAGACTGCTGTCCTCCACCCAGGGTGGCACAGGTTCTGCTGTGTACTTTTCCCTGGCAGGAACTTGGATGGGAGCCGGGGAAGGGTGGGTTAAGGTTAAGTATGTACGCCCCAGGCATCTGAGTATAGGACATGGAGGTGGCCATTCCTGTCCCAGGCTGGCAACACCACAGCACACTCCGTGGCTCAGTGTGGAGCTTCTGCACCCCCTGATCCAGGTACCTAGTGTATCCCCACTGGAGGCTGCAGTCCTCTGGGGTCTTGCGTCTGACCACCTTGGGATGGGGAAGAACAACCCCCCCACCTCCCCGCTGGGGTGGGTGCGGGTCCTTGGCTGGCGGCAGGGAGAGCCCAGAAGGCATGGCCCATGTGCACGCCCAGTCATGGGGCATCTGTGGGGGCTGCACTCTGCTGTGGGTATCCCTGTGCTGGAGGGACCCCGACATTAAATAGCAAACAAAAAACACTATGACAGTGAGAGAAAGAGAGAGAGAGAGAGAGAGAGAGAGAGAGAGAGAGAGAGAGAGAGAGAGAGAGAGAGAGAGAGAGAGAGAGAGAGNAGAGAGAAAGAGAGAGAGAGACTGCAGAAGAAAGGAAAACAGTTTATATTTTTGTACTTTGAATCTCACTTTCCCCCTGCCTTTTGAACAAAGGGCCCTGTATTTTCATTTTGCACTAGGCCCTGATCAAAGGTTAGGACTATAAAGAATCATCTTCTGAGATTCATCTACCTAAATGGAAGTTGACAAAGAAAATTCCACTCATCTCAGAGTCGGCTAACCTTTGCAATGCCAAGGTAATAACAGGGCTTCCTGTAGCATTCCTAAATCCTAAACATAAAGCTCTGAAATTAATTATGTATTATGAGTTTCAGACTCTACGGGGCTCCTTCCGGGATACGATGACTGGGGCTGCTGCATGGCCGCCACTGCCCTCAAATAGTTTGCTGCAGGATTAAGTCCTATTTCTTTTGAATGATATGCCACCTTATAAATAAATATAAAGCATCATCAAAACATTGTGCATAAATTTTAATAAGACAAAGAAAGTTGAAATTCTGTACTATTTCCCATTAAAGAAGGTAATGCTATAACATTCTAACACACCTATTTTCCTGATTTGAATAAACCAACTGTAAAACAAATATTGCTCAGACAGTCAAAGAAATTTGAATACGGGTTGGGCATTGTATGATATGGCAGAACTGTTGTTAACATTGTCAGGGGTGATAATGGCAGCAATTATGACAAAATATTTCCTAGAAGCACACTGAAGTATTTATGGGTAAAATAACAGGATGTCTGAGATCTGCTTTACATGTTCTGCAAAAGAAGAAGTGGAGGAAGAGGACAGGAGAGGAAGAGGAAGATGGAGAAGATAAAGTTAGTGATAATAAAGACAAAGAGGAAGGAGACACAAAAATGTGAGCTGGATGAAACAGGACTGGCAAGACACTGATGAAAATGTGGGAATTCATTATAATGCTCTCTTTATCCTCATGGATGTATTTCAATTCCCATAATGCAGTATGTGTACCTGTTGCCTACAAAAATTTTCTAACCAAAATCAGGATACAGATTTTTTTTTTTGTAAGAAGCATCCACTGAGGCTGACAGGAGCTCTTGGAACTGAAAAGATACAAAGGAGTTGATGGGGAGGATAATCCCACCATCGATTCTGGACACGATATAAAAAAGAAAAGGAGAAAGTGAGAGGAAGAGATTGCCATTGTTACGCTCCTAATCTTTCCTTCTAATTATGCCTGAGTCAAGGCTCGGGTCACAAGGAAAATAATTTTAGTGGTCAACCATTTGCCCTATTTTGTATACATCAAAAAAGCTCTTGTTCTCACCACATTCCAATCTCAGTTTCCCACCTACTTTAGAAATGTATCAAGTGTTCAGATTAACTAAAATATGAATAAAATGACTGTTACCAGGGGCACCTTATTTGTAAACCTACAGACAGCCTTCTTGTTATTCTGAATTGCAATATGTAACACTTTAAAAGCTAAACACACTTTATATTATTATGAATATTTCAGATAAGTGTTCAACATGCCCAGCTGCTAAAAGTTAAATGTAAATTTCTCTCTTGCGTGCAGATGGTGGCCAAGCAAAGTAGCTCTTGGGTCTTAGAGACAGAAGGTCAGGTCATGGCTGAAAGACCAAAGAACAATTGCTGCTTTGCTATTCCAGGTCACCCATGGAATGAGACACCACTACTTTCTTTTCGGAAACTGTCTGCTCAATACAAAATAGTGACAAAGACTACCTATAAGATTTCCTTACATTCTGTCCAAGGAAAAATGGTAACAAGCACATCACATCACAGACATCTTGTAACTGTTCAGAGGTTTTATTCCTAACTCTCTGATCTCCTAAAGAGGCACATCTCTCTAAAAACAATGCTAAAAACCTCTATGACACTGTTCATGTTTCACTATTTAGCAGGAAATGTTTATAAATGAAAACTGCTCCTTTTAAAATCCAGCAACTTTAGCCTCCACACCATCGCTGGTTAATTAAAATGAGATATGAGATAGTGTTAAAAGACAACTATTGGGTTGTCGGAAAAGTCATGATGTACTTTTTCTCTGTTTTTCGTTGCAAATATGCGTCATGACATTTCCAACAACCCAATATTACAAATACTCCTACACATGTTATTCATTTACAAGTGATATAATCTAATTGTTCCTACAGTGTTTTTTTCTCTCCAGAACATTCTATGATTTTAGATAACTCAGAGACTCTTCTTTGCTTTATTTTTCCAGTAAATGTAAAACATTATGCTGGCAGATGCTAATAACATGAAAGGTATATAATAATGCTAGTGAGCAAGCCAACGTGATGCTTTAACAGAAAAAAAATAACACTGCACCAGGAAAGGAAAGTTCTGTGTTTGGTTTGGTAGTCCTAACCTTCAGTCCCTGATAAAAAGGATGTTCAATTCCACTATCAGGCACGCCCCCAACTGGATGGACTAAATTGGTTCCATTATTTGTACACGTAAATAATGAAAATTCTTCTGAAAATTTGAAAGTCTGTAACACTTTGAATATAGTGGTACAAAATCAGAATTTGAGTTTGGTGTTTAGATTTTATTTTAGTGCCAGGGATTTCAGCATTCATTTGAAAAACTTTTTATACCACATTTCATTATTACTTACATCTTCAATACTTTTCCCAATTGTGTTTGCATCATTTACACAGAAAGTCGCTAGCGTTGATAGGGAAAATGTGTTGGAGAACATGATAAAAATCTTTGAACTAGAAACATGTGTTTTTTTTTTTACTTTATTTAGGGCTACCTACTTTTACACTGTAGCAATTTCTTTAAAATATTGATACTTAGAACTGAGTCTTATTTTAATTGAATAGATTTATCAATGTGCTTTCATTGAACATAAAGAATATAAGACTTCAATGTTCTGTACTGTCACATAAAAATGGAAAATCAAAAGTCAGCCTATTAGAACTGCCTCTCTAAACTCTTTATTCGTGCTGTCAATTAAAATTGGAGTAGCTATATGATCTCAACAAAGATATAACATAAAACATCTGTTCAAACTGAAATTGAAGTAAGCAGCATCTTTGCCCTAACATTTCTAATTTCAATGTATTTAAGCATCCTGAGCAAACGTATTCATGGTTATCTTAGTTAAAACTGGTTCCATTCTGCCAACAATCAATTTGATTGACATATTTACATATCAGCTCATCTCATCTTACAAATTTTAAACTTTTTCACTTAAAATTGGATTCAAGTTGGCATCTCTCAAGAACTTTATGTACGTATATTTTAGGTTCAAACTGTGCATTAGAACATTTTTTTTTACTTTTGTAAGTAATAGATACACATATCCAAATGTATATTTATGACCTGTCAGATTGGAATTTTATATTCATACAGTTATATTCTCACCATTTCATGTGAAAGGTGGTAATTTTTGGCAACTAAAAATGAAATCCTTTTAATAGTATAAACTGAATTGTTCCATTAGTTAGAAACAATGTAATAGAAATAAATGACTTACGAATAAAACCACATCAACTTCACAAAGAACATTAGTTATGTTTTAATTGCTTCAGTTACGCTTGTGTCATCTCTTACCTGATCTTTAATTTCAAGATCCCTTTTAGTTTTTGCTCTGTACTCTCTGTGCTCCTTTTCAGCCTCATCCTTATCCATTTTGGTTTTATTCAATTGATAGCGCATTTCCCCACACACCTGTTAGATTATAAAAACTAGATCAATAGCTGCTGGAATCTACCAGGCAATGCCCGCAATTAGATCTTTTGGTGCCCCCTAGAGGTCATATAAATAAAATGTAATAGAAGTTTCCTAAGAATGGCACTTTCTAATAGAATACATTCAATATAATATTTATTCTGTTAAGATAATATTCTGTTAAGGTATTATTGAGCCTAACGATTTCAAATTACAGATAAATAAATGCAGAACTAAGGAATTTAAGTAATGTTTTCACGATTTATTATGTAAAATAATAGTTTTGATTGCATATTATCCAAAATGCACTATCATCTCAATTTTAACTAGGTGAAATTATTACTTAAAATATTAAGCTATGTTATTATTTATTCAATTGTTATATTTAAATAAACACTCTATATTTTAAAATTTCCCTTTAAAGTCTTTATCAGTTAGGCTTTTATTTAAGGAAACTTATAAAGGATTTTTCTCTCTGCTAGTAGACCATGTTACTGATATTTATGTGTACAGTAGTAGCCATTATTTACTGGAAGCTTTGTCCATAACATCAATCTTATCATGTACAATAACATGTATTTAAGTTAAGAAAGGTTGTCTGGTAAAAGTCATAGGCTGGAACTAAGCACACTCTGCATTGATAAATATAGATTTAACATAAAAAGAAAATGTACATTTAAGTTAAATGGTTTTAATATATCACTAAATAATGAACACACAGAGTATCTTAAAAGTGTCCTTTATACATATTGTTTTCAATCCACGGCCTCTGCGGACATAAATATATTTGGAAAATGTAATTAGCAGATAGATCTAAATAAAGAAATTATAAGCCTTTGAGATAACTGAGAATCTGTAGAGAAATCAATTAATACACAATTCTGTTAAGTCAGCCTCTAATTTATAAAGACAAGTTTTAAAAATCATGTATCATGCAATGGTTATACTTCCTTGAAACTTTTCAATTTTAGTATGTCTCCAAAAATGATGATTAGAACTCTGGAACTTAGTTTCATCATTACTGAGGTACTAGAATCTTAGAAAAATCTATATGCATTTCCTATGTTCAAATAAAAAATACTTCTAAAAATAAACTAATCTGTGTTCAAAAGTGATAGTGACAAGACAGAAGAAAAAGTCACTAAGCTTTTCCCAGTGGGCTTCATCAAGTTAGAAGAAGAATAAAATTACTAAAACTTCTAAAATTCAGATGCTTTCAGTGTGTGAGAGTTGAGCTTTCCCATTTCAAAAAAATTAGTAATTTACAAAAAGTTATTAATTTTAAAGCTACATACAATTTGAAAATTATGAATGACAGAAAAAAGAAGCGAGGCTCTAATTTGCTTTCTTTCTTAGTTCTTCACTCTTCCAATCTATTTGATCTACATATGTGACTGAAAGGGTCCTATTTAAAATTATTTTATCCCTTAATTTTATTTTTAAAGTTCCCTGGCCTTACTACTTTCAGGATAGCATTTGCTAAGTTTATCCGTAACATTTAAATTCTATCTATAATAAATTGACAAATTAAATTGAACTAGAATTATATTATCTCAAGGTTGGAAGCAACCTCAAGGCACTGTGCTGACGCTTGGGTCCCTTTGCACAGTTCTAAAGTCAGAATATACTCATTCTTCACTGTACACATTTTAACAGAACGTTCTCTCCCTATAATGAGCTGAAAACTCTGGCCACAGCTTTCACCTATAAATCTGGGTGAACCATTTCCATCCCTCTGCACCAGTGCTCGCTCTGCTACCCTTCCCTTCACACAAACACATCAGTTATATTAGGAAATATGATATTTTTAAACTTCTACGGTTGCTAGCTTACATTTCACAAGGAAGAAAAAGAAAAAATAGGCTCCCTTCCCTAATGTTAAAGTTCATTTTAATTACTAAATTATAAAGCAGCAATGGCAGCAAAATATGTCAAATTGTAGGGAAATATATTAAGAAGTAAAATTCAAGATGAAAAGGTTATGTATTTTAACAAAATAATCTGTGTATGTATTGGTCAAAAAAATTCATTTAACTTAGTATATCATGTACACACGTTTAGTTTCTTAGTTTTAAAGCAATTGATTACTGAAATCTATATGGACTTCTAGTGTTTCTTAAATACGTACCTTACATTAGTCAGTTAAGATTATGAAACATTTTATTTCCAGGTTCAGAAAGTTGTGATACCCATACAGTAGCAAACACTGTGGCATTTTAAAGTACAAGTACAAAGACCAATAAAATAAGAAGTTATAGTGTTAGAATCTTGATCTTAGAGACCAGGTCTGAAAAGGAATGGGAGGTGGAAATTTTTTTATGTTAAGCACACTTTTCATGTTGTAAATACGTGTCTTTTAGTATTGCTGTGAAGAGCTGCCTCTGGCAAAAATTACTCATTAATGAATTTAGAAATACAAGTTTTATCAAATTTTCAATAATTAAAGTCATAAAACTTGCTTATTTACGAGTCTGCCTCAGCCACTGAACTCTTCAGCTCTTTGAGGACGTGTGTCTACTTCATCTTTCTATTCACAGCACCCAGCAAAGGGCCTGCCCTTAGTAAGTACTGTTATGTTTACCGAATGGCCGTTTTAGGAGGACCTTTATTATCCTGAAATAACAAAACTTTTCTGCTCCAAACTTCTTTCTGAGCTCTGCACGTTAGGAAAAATATTTTTCCACGAAAACATTTAAGTACTTATTAAACTGAAATCTCTCTTTGTACCTTTGTGACATCCATTTCTTGGGAAGTAAGCCGGCTTTGAATTTCTTCTAGTTGATTAATAGCTGAAACCTTCTCTCTTGTAACCTTTTCCACCTGGGCCTCCAGTTGGGCAATATTCTGAGACAGGGCCAACATCTGTCAGAGGAAATAGAAGTCCAAAACGATAATGTCATTTGACAAAATAAATACTAAAAATGTCTTGAGTAAATACAGTCTCAGCATAGCCACTGAGCTCTCTTGGTAAGTCATTTCTCTATGGATTGGGTACGTTCATTTCTCTACCTTTTCAAATCATCCATCCCCCATGATTTAAATATGTACTTCCCTCCTGGTCATTCCCTGGTCTCCAACCTCGCTTTGGAAAACATATAACAAGATAAAATCAAAGTTTTGGTTGAAACTCTAAGGTGACAGATATCAGATACCTACGTAAGTTACGGAGGAGACTGACATGAAAGAATTTCAGGAGAGCTATCCGGGAATCAGACAACTCTTACACCCCTTCCCACACGGAGGGCCTACAAGGATTGACTGGGGGAGTTGGAGAGGCAGATATCTGCAGAGAGAGCTACTGGTGTTTTATGAAACCCACCGCTGCCCCTACACCAATGAAGAGGAAGCTCTCCGCGGTTCCCTTAGTTGGTACCCGCCCCCAGCCCTCCCCTTGTCTCGCTCTCCCCATTCCTCCCGGAGCACCCGCTAAGCCACTATCTCCCCTCCTCCAAGAAGGCTTCTTCCAGCTCCCAGAACAAAACATAGACTCAGGGGTGACATTCAGCGGATGGGCCCTGGGACAGTCACGCCTGTGGTGCGCAGTGGCATCGTCCCTCACTGCCTGATGTCCACGCCGTCCCGGTCGTTTACGATTTTGACGACCACTGTGGCACGTGCTCGTACACCGCCTCGGCACACCTCTGTCACACCCCAGCCTCCACCTCACTCCAGCACAGCACTTCTCATGCTGCTGGTAATTGTCTGCCGGTTAACTCATCACACTGGCAGTTCCTTAGGGCACGGTCCTCAAGGGGCACCAAATGTTTGATGAATAAATGAATAATGACAATAAATGGCTTCTCTGAGGGACTCTGTGGAAAATGGGTTCTTAGTTTTTCTTCTCAGCGTTAGAAATGCTTTCTAGATCTTAGGTTTAACCTTGATAGTTTTGTTTGTTTGTCTGTTTGCAAGCACATTTTACTCTGATTCAGTAAGCAAAAACTTTCTAGGCTCTTAATTTATTTGTATCTGCAGTTTTAACATGAAGAAGAAATGCGACCTCATCCCACAGCAAAACATATAAGGATATCTATCAGGTTTTAAACTGTTAAAACAAGAACTGGTAATGAATTTGAAATAATATTTGAAATCTACCACCATACCCTGACATGGGTATGAATTCAGCTTTATAGCTGAAATCAGTAGCTAAAATTTTGCGGTTAAAAACCAAGAGCACCTTTGAATACATCTAACTGAAGTTGACACATGTGAAGATAATGAGCCCAGTGGCTATTTTCTAATGCAGACAATGGATGCATTAACTCTTGTGGGGATTGTGGAGAATTGTATATTTGACGTGTGGCTGTTTATATATCCTTCTTACCACCAAAAGACTGGCTGCAAATCTAATTTCCACATAAAATTACTTTTACTAATACCAAGCTACAAGCCATCCTTATGCATATTACAAGCTGAACCTAAAATTAAAGGTCAAAAGAAGTTAAATGTAACAAATTAACTTAATTTCTTTAATTTAAAAATTCCAGTTCATGAATATCCATATTATGAATGTGCAATTATAGCTTTCCTGGAACCATACAGCAACAACAAACTTTAATTACCAGCTACTAAAAGTCATCTATTACTTGCTTATGTGGAGATATGCGTTATGGTAAACATATTAACATTGTGTGGCTTTTGAAATAAATATGCAGACATAATAGCTAGTTGTAAATACTGAGTCCATCTCTATCACAAGGCTTGGAACAAATCTCACCCCTTGGGTAGGATCCCCGCCCTCTGCCACCCATCACTTCTTTCCTCTGCCCATTACCTGTCTGCTGCCTCCTGTCACCCACTTCCCGAGGCCTCCCCTCCTGTTGTCACACCTTCTTTTCCCCCACGCCCACCATCTGGAAGTCAGTATCACCCTGCAGGAGCTTCTCCATCCACATCTGTTGCAGAGACAGAAGTAACACAGACAGCTGCAACACTGCTGGGTGTCCAGGGCGCTGACATCAGGTAAGTCCTTTACACTTTGACAGGGGCAAGCCAGAGACAAGGACACCCAGCTTGGGGGAGCCGCATAGGAATTTCTACACGAAAACAGTCCCTGGTGCACGGAACATGGAAAGAAGCGGTGCTCCCCATACAAGAGGAACGGGAATTAAGGGTCCCAGCACAGGGCTGTTACCAAGGGAACCAGCTGAGAAACTGCGTGGACCACAGAGGGCGCTCGGTAGATACATGATGAATGGCTGACAACTAACAAACCTCGGTGGCTCTGTGGAACCGAGGACCATTAGAAAGACAACAAACAAACTCACAGCAAGCGCCTTGCATAGGGGCATGATTCAAATCCTGTCTAGGTAGGTGGCATCTGTTCTCCGAGAGCTTCCCCCACAAACGAAATTTTAAAAAAGAGAAAAATAACAGAAAGCAAGAAAACCTGAAAGTCTCGCAAGCATTCCTCACTGCCAGAAAGGCAGGAACACTTACTCCAGCCCTAAGTACAGAGAGCTTACAACACCATGATTAACTGTTCAGTTTATTAGATTAACTTCCTGTGCTCGGCAGTATGATATACATTCTCTCTTTTTATCCCCTTGGAGAAAGAATTATATTGGATTAATTTTCAATTGAAAAAATGAGATTCAAAAATGAAGTAATTTGCCCAAGTTCATTCAAGCTAATAAATAACAAGTAAAACTGGGCTTTATATTCAAATTTGTCTGCTTTACTCATATGAAGATCCAAGAAATCTACCCAATCAGATGACTTCTCTCTTTCTCTGGGGTCAGAATGATAATAGCCACAAGCCAAAAATTATTAAATGTCCACTCTAAGCCAGGTATTATATTAGGTACTTTCAAAACATGATCTTATTAATCCAATCAATTCCTTAAGTAGATCAACTCCATTATTTATACTTTTGGAATTTGGAGAGGTTAAATGAATTGTTCAAGGTCAGAGAAAGGTCAGATGAGATTCAACCCTAAAGACTTTTACTCCAAAGCCACTTTCTGCCATTTCCTGGTTCAAGCACTTGCCTCAGGGCTCAGATTATAATACTTTCAGCACTTTATTTATACATTTTTACTTAGGGCAGGACCTTGAGATCAAATGTCAACCAAGACTTACTGGGAACAAAACAAATGACTCAGACTCAGAAATACATTGTATTTCTGTTGTCACCTTTATTCATGAAATAATTGTCCATATAAGAAAGAGGTTCTATTACCTGTGAAAGCACCTGGCATACTGCCGGACACATTTCAGCCTTCCTTCGTCCTTTCTTATCAGGAATTCTCATCTACATATTTTTATATAGTAGAACTACTCAGCAAGCTAACAGGTTTCCACCAGACACCCAGAAAAGAAAACTCTCTTGAACAACAGCTGGTCTTTGCTATTGATGCTGTTCTCTCTTCCACACAACACCCAGGTCACAATTTTGCCTCCCTCCATGTCTTACCCACGTTGGTTGTAGCCAGTATTCCTTCCCATACTCTGCATTTTTAAACACTCTCTATTGTTTGAAGGTCAGCTAAAAAAAATGCCAACTTCGCCACAAAGCCTTCCATGATCTCTTGCAGACAGGGATCTGTTCGGATCCTCTGAACGTGCAGCATTTTAGTCATGCCTTTTCAATGCTATGGAGTCTTTTTGCTTCCTCTTGTATTACGTTCATTCATTCACCAAATATATATTGAGCATATTTTATGTGAGAGGAAAGTGCCACGCAATGAGGATGTTAACAGACCATACATTCAGGGGATGCATAGTAAATTAGGGGAGACAAATTATTCAATCAGAATTTGCAATAAATTGAATTAGGGGAGCCCATAGGAGAGGCTCCCAATTCATCACTGGGAGGCTGTGAGAAGAGGGGGTACCACGAAGAACTTTGAAAGATCCATCAGTGAGGGCAGAGGGAGACTCCACTAGGTCGGGGGCAAAGCACATGCAAACTCCCGAGATGACAAAACAGCATGGCAGATGGGCGCGTTTGCACGTTTGAGGAAGAACAAGAAGATCAGTAGGGCGGCAATGCAAGCAAAAAAAAAGCGAAGGGAGATGAGATTGGAGAGCCAAACAGGGGAAGAAAAATGCAGAGTTTTGATGCTCTGCTAAAGGATCCTAAATTTTAGCCAAGGGCTTACAGGGAGACATGAAGGCATTTTAAAGCAAGAGACTGCCATATTGAGATGTTCATTTTGGAGAGATCATCCGGCTGTGGTTTGGAGGACGGCTGGGAAGGAGGTACAACTGGATTCAAGGAGTCCACTAGGACTTAAGAATCATCCAGGGGGAGGCGTGGAGAGCAGTGGGATGGAGACACAGGGCAATGTAAAGTTCCGAGGGGCCCGAGGCTCTAGAACTTGGCAACATGATGACATGTAGGGCTAGGGGAAGGGAGGAGACAGGATGAGAGCAAGATTACTGAGTGGGCAACTGGATGAATAGTGGTTCCACTAGAAAAGGAAAGAGGGGAAGGAGGCTGGTTTGGGAGCTCAATAGAGCCAAAGATTTCTAAATCAACATCATATATATATATATATATATATATATATATATATATATATATATATATATATATATATGGAATTAAAGCCACAGTGGTGCTAAAAATACTTAGATCTATATATAGCTCAGTAGATAGTTGCTGTGTGAGTTAATGATCACATGTTGGAATATTGTAACAACACAGTACTTAGGGTACAAGTGGTGAGTCCACTTTAAAAAAAAAAATCCCACATAACAGTTGTTTTCAGTTACCTCATGGACCACGTCTTGCTCAATTTTACCCTACCGTAGCAACTGTAAAGCTAGGTTCCACTCAACGCTGTAGTCCAGTTGGTAACTGTTTTTCAAACACTGCCCATTTCATGTTTTCTGTTTCTTTCTTTTTTTTTTTTTCAAGATTTAATTGGGGAATTGGTAGAGGAGAACAGCATTGGGGAATCGGGGAAGGGGAACAGACAAGTTGCTGTCCTTTTGTTCTTCTGTCTAGTTGTGGAGGACGTCGCTTCACTGGCCCATGTTGGTATTATTGTGCTCTTCCCGGGTGAGGCAGTCACTCGTCAGCCATTGGACAGCAGCTCAAGCCAGCTGCCAGCCACTCACGGTAGTTTATGGCAGCCCACTGCAGCAGGGGTTGCAGCCTACGCCATCGCCAGTGACTCACGGCAGCCCAGCTCCAGGTGGAGCTGTTGTTCACCATCTTAGCTGTAGAGGGCACAGCGTCACTGGCCCTCATGTGGGATCCGAACCAGGGTTCTGATGCTCAGAGATGGTGTCCCAAGCCAACTCCTAACCAACAGGCCACTCGGCCGGCCCTGTTATCTGTTTCTTTTGTGTTTAGTTTCCCCCTTCCAATTATTCACCAGGCTATGGCCATTATTCATCACGTAATTCGTTAGAATCTATGTATATTTTGCACAGTGTACATAATCACTGTTTCTTGGTTACTAGGTTTCTTACGAGTGTTTTATCTTCTGCGAAGTGGGGTAGGCATCTCTCTTTGATTTAGCCAAAGTGGAAATAAAATCTGGGTATCTGAAAAACACCAGCTGTCCCCCAACACACATGAGAGAGGGGGCCAAACAGAATGGCAGGATTAAAATAAATTCCATAATTTCATATGATGGAACCAAACTGACTATTCTATTAGGAAAGGTCAGGGAATATAACCTTTAGTGAGAAATACATGGAAAATGAGAAAACTTTTTATAACTCTCAGTTATAAGAAATTTGACTACTTACAAGGTTTTAAAATTTAAAGTTCATTCAAGAATTGCGGCCTACAGTGTCATCAGTGACATCACCAAACGTTTCGCCTGCCATGTGGACGGTGAGCTAAAAACCCTTTGGTACCTTCGATCTCATGCTCTCCCGTTCTTTTTCCATGTCCTTTTTCATCATGTCTTTCTCAGAGGCCCTTTTCTCTTGCTGAGATGACAGCTCCTTTTGAAGCCGGTCTGTCTGTCTCGCCAGTTCACTCTTCAGCTGTTCACACTGGATTAAAACCTGCCAGAAGACAATAAAATGGGAGCTTAGAATTTGGAAAAAATAAGGAGGAAATGAGACAATTAAGCTTTACTTTTATTTGAAATAGTTAAAACACACTATAAAGTCAACTAGAAACACTTTATATTGTTTGTTAATATTACTTGCTGATAAAACAGTATCCAAATGTTATATGTATTCACATATTTCAATTTCCATATTAATAATTAAGGCTGTACTAACTTATCAACTAACAAGAGTTAGATAATGGACTTTGATGAGGGCCACTGATGAGTAAAAATTCTGAAAAAGGAGATCAGAAAAATAAAATATTCTAGTATTTTCAATTATTATTATGTTTATACTACATGAAATATGTAAGTATCCAATTTAACTGATTTTTTCATTTGTTCATGTTTAAAAATTATTTGAATACTTTAAACGATAAACAAAAAATTTCAAATGAGGTTTTATATTTATCATTCCATACAGGCATCTACTTTAAAACTCATAAAAATCAAGTTTCTTTAAATGTTATTAAGATAAGATTTAGTTCCCTACCCTTACACACATAACTACGGTAAAAATTAGGTAGTAATCAAAAGTTAAGATAAAGCCTCAGAACAGCATTTACTACTTAGTTTTATAACCCGAGAACTGTGAGCTTCCATTTCTGATCATTTAAAAATCCGTAATTGTCCATTAGTCTAAATTTCCCACTTTGCATTTCCAGAAGTAAAAATTCTATAACGTCCTCTTGGCTACATTCATAATATGTTTACACATAATACCCAATAATAAACGATGGCTTCAAAATCCCAGTCTAAAAAAAAAAAATCCCAATAAAATCACGATGCTTAGCATAGAAAACCTGAGTCATCCTATGGTATTTTAGTCTTATCCCAATGGCTCTTATTTACAACATCTGCTCCACCCATCCTCTATTTTCCCCTGAACTGGTAGAAAGAAACTCAAGTATTTTATGACTTACATCCTGCATGATTATAATTTTTTCAGTCCCATTTATTGTTAGGGAGATGGAAATGGTTTCAGTAAGCCTGACTGTAAGTTTTATACATAGATATGCTTCCCTCTGGTGAAAGCTATAATAAATACAGACAAAAAATATCTAGGATATGTGAATTTTCCTCTCTTCATCTGGAAAGTATTAAACTTCAATTTCTTTTAAACTCTTCTGGAAAGTTTCTGTACTCCTAGATAACATATGAGGTTAAAATTAAATTGTCTCAGATTAACTGATAAGCAAAACTAATGACTAAAAAATGATTCTCCTAGGAATTTGGTCCCAAGTTCAATTCTAGTTGAGAATGTTTTGAAAGGAAAATTTTAAATTAGATTTTAAGAGAAATGAAAAAGAATTATTTTTCTAAAACATAAGCCCTTGGAACTTGACTTAGAGACTTTTGTGCTTCAGAATATTTGTGCTCCACAAGAATGGCTTGGTGAAAAATATTTTATATGAAACGAATAAAGAGTGTTCATAATTTTTGCTAATATAATGAATACTGGTATGAAAGAATGAAATGATTATTGAATATAAACCAATATATCCAATGAGAAGTTTTTAATTGAATGAAAACTCAAGAGTCAAGATTATTAAATATAGGAACAGTGGAAGGACTGCTGAAGATCTCAAGAGTAAGCTCAGATGAAGTGCAAAAGAATCTATTAAGAGAATACAATCAACTCAGGAACTGGAACAGTAAATGATCCTGACCGAGTAAGAGACCTAATGTTAAGATAAGATGATATAAAGCAAAAGGTATAAAGCAAGAAGTTGTAAACCACTGAAAGAAAATCATTGCTGAAGTCTTAAAACTTATAAAAATCATTGCTGAAGTCATAAAACCATAAAACTTATGGTTTTATGGTTGGCCTTCTCTCTGTTAGGCCAACCACCACCAACGGGTCATGATGAGGAAGTACATAAACAGTAATGAAAAACTGAATAACAATATTAGATTAAAAACTGGTTATCAACAACTCTCAGTGGGCGGGTGGCCAATGATTCCATATTATAATATAGCATTTACTTTTATTTGTTTTGATTTTAATATACATGCCTGGTCACAATGAAGAAAATATGAAAGCTTAATTACACATGGAGGTAGAAAATGATTTCGTATTTCTAAAGATATCTTACAGTGGACCTCACAATACTAGAAAGATTTGGTTCTACTAAACAAATATTTATACACTATTTCCATTATACGTTTCTCTTTTAATTGTAGGGTTCCTGCTCCTAGTTTTCCAGAATCCCAGCTGATTCAGCACTCCCTGATTATACTAATCTAACCATTCAGGAAAGGTTTAACTAAGTTCTCAAAGGCTAGATCAGTCAACTGTCAATTACAATTGACTGACAGATCTTCATAGGTGGCCAAGTTAATTTCCCACCCACAGAGAAGGTGGGTGGAGCCTTCTCCCTTTCCCTGAGTACAACACCTGGACATGGCAGAAATGGCTGTAGGTCTTGAGGAGATGGGAAATTATACTTTCCCCCCACCTAGTAGATTCAGTCCTCAAGGGACCTTTTCTCTTCTGGAAAATGTCTTCATTTGTGGTCATTCTATGTTGGCCGCATTAATACATTTTTCAAAACATAATTTATTGGACTTGATATTCCCAGTCCTAGTTTATTAAACCAAGGCGTATGAGCTACTATCTTAATGGGGTCAAAATACCTTCTAAAACAAATTTATATCCAGTCAACTCAACTTTTAAAATAGGAAACCTATTTCAAACATATAAAAAGTCCTTCCCAACAGCCAGGGTTAGGCTCCTAGAAATTCTTGTGATAGAATTCATAATTAAAGATCTTACGGGAAATACAGATTTCACTCTTGCGAATGTAAACCTTAAAACTTATAAAAATGTTTTTATTTTTATGAAATAAAGCCTAAACAATAAAAATTATTATCAACACATTTTAAACATTTAACTTATGAATAACACAAACTATTGATATTTAATTGATAAACTCTTACTTACTAGAAACCTATCAGCCGGTCTTATCCCTGTCTTCCATTTTCAAGATATTTATAATTTGTTTTTGCTTTGTGGCAGATAATATATACAGAGGGCGCCAAAAAAAATGTGTACATATTTTAAGAAAGGAAAACTGTATTAAAACTGTAATTATACCGATAACAAAAAATGAATACAAGTCACATTTGACTTCTGCAATTACAAGAGGTGCTCAAAGTTGTTACATCAGTGTAATTTTAATAAAGTTTTTTCCTTTCTTGAAATGTGTATACATTTTTTTGGCACTCTCTGTATATCAAGAAGTATCATCTTCTCAGCCTGTGCCTATAATCAAATACTTGCCTTTCTGAATCTGCTCTAGTCCAGGAAAAAGCGTAATTTGGATCCTTGAAAAAGAGGAAAAAGTTCTGGGGACATTTAGTCAATCTATTGGGTTGGTATTTTTGAAAAACTGTTTCTTTGGAAGGTTATCTGATTTAGATATGCTCACGATAACTTCATGCCAAAGCCAACACTTTTGCTCCAAACATATGCAGGCAGGTCATCAGCCTGTTTAATAGCCTTTCCATCTTGTAGCTTTACCGAAGCAAAAAGCCACTGCTTTTCCACCCTCATTTATTCTCAGGTTAATTTTCTTTTTTTTTCTCTTTTAACATCACCCCCAGCTGTAATAAATTGCAATTCTCAAAAAAACCCAAAAATGTTTATTGAGCACTTACTATGTGCCAGACACTTTGCTAAATGGCTTATGTGTTAATTTATTTAACTCCTCAAATTTTTTTTTTTTAAATTGGAGAATTGGGGGATGGGAACAGCATTGGGGAATCGGGGAAGGGGAACAGACAAGTTGCTGTCCTTCAGTCTAGTTGTGGAGGACGTCACTTCACTGGCCCATGTTGGTATTATCATTGTGCTCTTCCCTGGTGAGGCTCACCGGTCATTGGACAGCTGCTCACGGCAGCTCACGAAAGTGCAAGCCAGCAGCTGGCCGGCCTGCCCCATTGCAGCTTACGCTGTTGCCGGCGACTCACAGCAGCCCAGCTCCAGGTCAAGTTGTTCACCATCTTAGCTGTAGTGTCACTGGCCCTCATGTGGGATCTGAACTGGGGCCCTGCTGCTCGGAGCTGGCTTCCCAAGCCAACTCTTAACCAAGGCGCGATTTGGCTGGTCCTCCTCACTAAATTTTAAGTGGTTCTTATCCTTCAGTGGAAGAAATGGGGGCTTTGAGACATTAAGTGACTTGCCCAAGGCCACCAACCTAGAAAGTGGCAGAGTGGGGATTTGTTCGAAGTAGTTCCACAACTGAATATGTGCATGGCATTATAATTTTCTCATGTTATAGATTTACTTATGAAATCCTCAGCTGTTTTCACTGCCACTATAAATGCAAATGTATGAAATAATTCTTTCTTACTTAGCATGCAATATGCAACATGGAACGCTAGATGGCACCAAATGCCAAGGAACTATACAAAGAACAGAACCATTCCACAGCTAAGTAAATAAAGTAGTAGGTTTTAAAATTAAAATATATATGTCATCTCACCTTTTTCTCTTGGAAAGCAAAAGTCCTAAAATGTTGTAACATACCTTAGAAATAAAACTAGTAGACTTGCACTGCATTCTGTAAACTGCTTAGAAATCGTTGCATTAATACTAGTTCAGTGAATTAGTTTCGGATACTAATAGGATATCATTCAGTTATAGACACAACAGCCTCTCTAGTTTTTAACTGTTAAATTTTTAAAAGCACTAACTACAAACATTCATTCACATTAATATTTAAAGCTAATAATTGACTTTAATTCAATTCAACAAACATTTATTGTACAATAAACACATAAATGGCTGTGAGGAATTACAGTGATAGATGCCACAGACCTGACTTTTAAGGTCTTTTGGGGGGTAGAGCTATGTAAATAGCTACCAAAATTATACACAGCATCAGCAGGAATATAGAGGAGGAAGAGATATAGTCAAACAAGCAGGGGCTGCGAAAACTTTGGGGAAGT